GTAATATACAGGGGTACAGGTAATATACAGGGGTACAGGTAATATACAGGGGTACAGGTACTCCTAGAATGAGATCCTAATAGGTTGGACTTGATGGACTAATGTCTTTATTCAACCTCAAATACTATGTAACTATGTAACTATGAAGGGGTTAAGGAAGATGCATTACCTGACATTGCTTTTGTGAAAGCTGCATAGCGGAATGGTCAGTATACTTGGCTATATAGGCAGTTTTAGATGTGCACATCCTGCCCTAGGAGGAACAGGTTTCCCTTGAAATGCATGTGTGGACAATAGTGAAGAAGCTGGAGCTCACTGAAGGTTTTCTCTGGCAGTGAGCAAGCTCTATTACATTTCCAGGACTGTGAAATGCAGTAAAACCAGAGTGACCAATGTGCAGAGATTTCTAACAGTGCAAAGGAAAACGCAGGTTCTTTTAAAATACACTTTTTAATGAATACATGATTGTAGAAATGGGGGGTCTTTTTTTAAATTTGCCTCCAGTTAAACACTTTAAAGTTGTCTTTTCACACTTGACATGCTTGTGTATTTTACTGACTCCGACTTGTCGAGCTCTCCGACTGGGCACGTCGCATCCTGTGACAGCAAGTAGATGTACAGCAGATGGAGCTAGTGCGCATGGGCAGAAAATCCTTGTCAAACTGTCTACTATTGCCACTGCGCCTGCGTGGCTAGCGGCTCATCAGATTCTATAACCTAGTACAATATTATATCTGTCCTAGGTTATAGAAGCCAATAGCCGCACAGGCGCAGTGGCAATTGTGGTTGTCGAAAATCATGTGGCCATGCAGGCGCCGTAACATAATATAACCCAGGACAAATATAACTGTAGTAGGTTATAGCAGCGGATAGCTGCGCGGTGGCAATGCAGTTCAAGGATTTCCTGGGCATGTGCACTAGCACCATCTGCTGTACATCTCCTACTGGCATTCAGTTGAAGACGTCGACAAGCTGGAACTTTTGATAGAACACCGGCTTTGTATTCTTTGCATACCTTATTTCTCTTTTCTTGCCCAGTCTTCTGATTGACAGGGGTGTGGAAATTTTTGAAAAAACTACTTGTCCAAGGGCTAAAGCGGGGGCCAAATCTACTTGTCCTTCATAACAATCTACTTGTCCCAATACAAAAAAAATAGTTTTAATTAAAACTAGGGATGCACCAATACCGGTTTTTGGGTATAGAGTACCGATATTTTGCTTTCGGTACTCAGAGTATCGGTGCTTCCGTTTGCATGGAGCAGGCTTCCCGGCAATCAGGAAGCCGGGCAGCGGGTAATGAGATGCTACCCGGCTTCCTGACTGCCAGGGAAGCAGACTCCATGTTTGGCTGGCTTGATTGTGAATGGCTTGGAAGCCGGTTTCCCGGCCAATCAGCATCGAGCCAGCTTCCTGGCCAATCAGAAAACCGGGCGGCGAGTAATGACCTGATTGGCCAGGAAGCCGGCTCGATGCTGATTGGCTGGGAAGCTCGCTTCCCAGCCAATCAGCAAGGAGCTGGCTTCCTGGCCAATCAGGAAACTGGGAGATGGGTCATTAGTCGCTGACCCGCTTCCTGATTGCACGGGAAGCTGGCTCCATGTTCCCCCTCCGGCACTGCCGGTCAGAGGAAGTCTTCCTCTGACCAGAAGGTCGGGTATTGGAGAAGATATCGAGCATTTGGGCAAGTACAAGTACTTGCCCAAATACTCTGTATCGGTGCATCCCTAATTAAAACTATATTGGTCTGTGCTAAACAGCGCTTCTCATTGGTCAGCGTGGTCACCAGACCACGCTGACCAATGAGTGCTTGCAATTTGCGAGCGAAATTCAAAATGCATAGGGCAGGACTGCGCTGGACAGTACA